TTAATTTGAAGTTCATTTTTTTGTTATGGTTGAAGTCCATTTTTTTCCATGTAGATATCTAGTTGTTTTACCACCATTAATGAAGTAGTTATATTTTTCTCTTCTTTTAGAGTCTTCTGATCCACAAGCAGTAGATATATTGCCATTTGTTTAGATTACATTAGTATCCTTCTCCATATTTTAGTGTTCAGCATACAAGTTTTGTATATTTTATTAGATTTATTCTTAATTGTTTTGTTTTGGATGTTACTGTGAATGATACTTTGTAAAATTTGAATTTCTTATATTTCATTGCTAATACATAGAAATGTAACTTATGTTTATCGACCTTGCATCTTGGGTACTTGATAAACTATTAGTTCTAGGTTGTGTTTAGGAGATTCTTTGGGATTTTTTTTGTAGATAATGCCATCTGCAAATAAATACAATTTTATATTTTCCTTTCAAATCTGTATCCACTGGCTTAACTTGACGTCCCTGCCAGAATCCCAGTAGAAGGGGTTTTGTGGAAACAGCATACAGATGTGTTTATAGCTTCTATATGATATAACTCCTAAAGCAAAAAAATTACTCTCACATCATGTTGCAGTGGTGTAAATACTACAAACTTTCTTGGCATTAGCTTTAAAAATGTGCATCCCATTGACTCGGTAATTTCCAATTTTAAAGCATCTTTTTCTTTAACCTTTAAGTTCAGGAGTACATGTGCAGATTTGTTATATAGGTAAACTTTTGCTATGGGGCTTATACAGATTATTTAGTCACCCAGGAATCAAGCTTAGTATCCATTAGTTATGCTTCCTGATCCTCTCCCTCCTCCTACCCTCACCCTCTGATAGGTCCCAGTGTGTGTTGTTCCCCTCTATGTGTCTATGTGTTCTTATCATTTAGCTCCCGCTTAAAAGTGAGAACAAAAGCATCTATCTTAAGCACATAGTTTAACAAGATGTGGACAGATTATTGCACAAAGATATTCAATGCATTATCATTTATAGTAATGAAAAATTGGAAATAATTGTAGGTTTAGTAGAAGGAAGATTTACAGAGAGAGATGATAGAATATACTGCAGTTTTTAAAAATGCTAATGTTTGAAGTCTTCACTATATATGAAATGACAAAAGCAGCAAGAAGAGAATAAAAATTGTATATGGTATAATCTCCTTTTCAAAAATTACACATAAGAAAATGTTTTGAAGGATATATATCAATGTTAAGTCATTTTATGGTTTCTGCTTTTTCTCAGTTGAATTAATAATGAGCGTTATTAATGTGCTAAATTAATACATTAAGTCATTAATATGTTAAGACATTTTATGGTTTCTGCTTTTTCTCAGTTGTATTTTCTGAACATTCAACTCAGTTGTATTTTCTGAAAATAAACAAGCATTATTGTGCTAAATAAATATTAAAGGAAATTCTAAATCAGTTGCATAGTATTCTCTTGACTTGGTTTATGTTTCCAAGACACAAGGGTTCTCGGCATGTAAGTGAGTTTATGTGATTCCTTAGTTTTGAGAAACAGAATGTGTTCAAACATTGCTTTTATGGATATAATTTTAATTGTGAGTCCTGCATTTGTGTGAGGCTTGTTGCAACACTTTGTGCTATAGGTAATGTTCAGTCTTTCAGCTATGCTTTAGAGTAATTACGACAGAACAGACAGAGAGCTTGTCTATTCTGATAGCAAAAGAAAACAAGGTCTTCGGAACCTGGATATTTCCTAAACCTGTATAGAAAGCCAGAGACTTGAAAGGAATGAGAACTATAGTAAAAACATTTATTTAGGTAAGACCTAATTTCAAAAGGTCAAAGTCCCACTTTTGCCTTGGATTTCAACTAAGTCAGTAAGACTTCAACACTGTCCAGTATTGGCAGGACATTAAATGAAATGGTGACCTCAGTCAACAGTAGACAGTTCCCTGTCTTGAGAGAGAATGACATAGAAGAAAGCCACTGGGAGCCCTCCCAAAACAACCCCACCCACATGGAGACACTGACACAGGGTCTTGGGTGTGTAGAGTTTAAACAGATCTCATTGTTTTCTGAAGAAAATGGAGTTTTTTCTCTATTTTTATTTTTCAGTTATAGAAAATTGTATGATTCACACCTTTAATCTGGCATGCTTGGATAAAGTTCCCTCTAAACGGGTCTGCTCACTTCTGATCCATTTATCATTTACTGCTGAATCACTCACAATAAATCCCAAGCAAAGCCCATCAGAGGCTGAAGCATCAGCTCCTGGATGTATATCTTGGCTGTGTAAGGCTTGTGGTGAGTGGTCCAGCCCAGCCTACTTCTCCAACATCAAACTATCTGGTACCTGAAACAAGCCCTCCGGTAAAACAATGACAACTCTTTCAAACACACTTTTGACATTTATTTGCTCCTCTGAGTTTTACCAGTCATGTAAAAACAAAATCTGTATTCTCCCAAAGTCAAATGCTACTTTTATGTCAAGACTCAATCCAAATTCTCCTACTTTTCAAAATCTCCAACCTCTGCCAATCTTGCCATTGTTGACACGTTGTTGTCTTTATGTGAGAGCTATTTATTTGATATCATCTAAAAATGACTTTAAATTGATTTCTTCTTTGGGTTGTTAATATTCTCAACAGTTTTATTTTAAACTCATTGTATGTTAATTTATGTCAATCATAAATTTTATCAAAATGAAAAAGAGCATGGTCGAACGCTTAATATTTATAGGCATTTAAAAAAGACCTTGACATGTAACACTTAATTCTCATATCTGTGAGGAAGCTAATATTTGCATTTTGCTTGAAGAAACCAGGGTACAAAGAGGCTAAGTAACTTGATCAGACTGTGTTCATTAACCAGAACCTCTGCATTACACTATTTCTCATCAACATAGAATAATACAGAATAAAAATACTGTAGTTCATGTGAATGATACCTTGGCAATTAGGAGACATCCCTGCCTCTGTTAATCTTTGGCCATTTTTCTTTCCAGAGCTTTGTTGATTTATTTGCCTATCATTTACATGTGTAAGTACCAGGTGTGAGTCTGGGTCCACAAAGCATGTAACTTTGTCTATAACTGAACTTAGTTCGTCTTAATTTTTCTTATGGCAAAAACATAATCTTGTATAAATCTCATATCTCCCTCAGGTTTGTGTCTTTTTCTCAGGTTGTGTCTAGATTCCGCTGGGGACCCCAGGTACTACTATGTCACAGGGAGCTATCAGGGCCTCTGTCCTTTGAGATACTCATGGCTCCATCTGATTCTTAGTTCCTGACCACAAGGACTCTCCACATCTGGATATCTCTCAGCTGCTCCTTTACAACTCAGAAGCAGATTGAAACTCATTCCACTCTTGGGAAGGAAGCCAGGTGGGGCTGCCTAATGTTCCTCACCACTACAGCGTCTGCACTCCAGTGCTCCTGTATTCTCTTGAACAGGAGGAGCTCTGTAGCCTTGTCCTTAAGGACCCTACACTTGGGAATGTCGCTAGAAAGCAGCTCAGCGTCACTCTGCTCTTGGGTTCCTCAAATATTGGTAGAATTTTTATTCTGTCATTTCTAGTCTCCTCCCTTTATCTCTGACATGAGGAAGAAGCTGACTCAAGTTACATATAACTTGTTTCCCTCCTTTCTCTGATAATTTTATTCTCCTATTTAGGGAAAAAATTAATATTAACTGATTATGTGTTCTACCAAATCTTCCAAAACTCAAAAGATAAGACTTAACTCTTCAAATGTCTATGCTCTGTCATATCTATCCTTCCTTCCTTGAGGCAGGGGGGATGCTCAGGTGCTCAGACAGGAGGAGGGACCATGGGATACAGAAACGAGCAAAGTACCTTTATCTAAAAATACCAATCTACTGTTCACATTTGAGTACATATTCAAGTATGTTATTTATAGCAGCCATATGACTGGTGGGGTTGACTCTACCTCGAAATTTGAATGTGTTTTAGTTTGGCTTGACCTATCAGGGTTCTCTCTTCTGCTACTGTATGGGCTTAACTATGGGTCTATTGCATAAAGTGATAAAGGTCTATTTCAAAGAGAGTGATGATCAAGAATTTTATTCAATGTTGTATGGAGAGACTCTCTCTTCTGTATATGTAAATTAAGATGCTTGTGTGAACCCCAAAAATCTGAGACAGGTCTCAGTTAATTTAGAAAGTTTATTTTGCCAAAGTTGAGGACACACACCTGTGACATGGTCTCAGGATGACATGTTTCCATGGTGGTAAGGGCACAGCTTGGTTTTTTACATTTAGGGAGACATAAGACATCAATATATATAAGATGTACATTGGTTCTGTCTGGAAAGGTGTGACAAGTTGAGCAGGGAGGGTGCTTCTGGGTCACAGGTAGGTGAGAGACCAACCGTTGCATTTTTTTTTTTTTTTTTAAGATGGAGTTTCACTCTTGTTACCCAGGCTGGAGTGCAATGGCACAATCTCAGCTCACTGCAACCTCTGCCTCCTGGGTTCAGGCAATCTCCTGTCTCAGCCTCCTGAGTATCTGGGATTACAGGCACGTGCCACCATGCCCAGCTAATTTTTTGTATTTTTAGTAGAGACGGGGTTTCACCATGTTGACCAGGATGGTCTCAATCTCTTGACCTCATGATCCACCCACCTCGGCCTCCCAAGGTGCTGGGATTACAGGCTTGAAACACCGAGCCCGACATTCTTTTGAGTTTCTGATTAGTCTCTCCAAAGGAGGCAATCAGATGTGCATTTATCTCTGAGTAGAGGGATGACTGAACAGAATGGGGGGCAGGTTTGCCCTTAGCAGTTCCCAGCTTGACTTTTCCCTCTAGCTTAGTGATTTTGGGGGCCCCAAGATTTATTTTCCTTTCACACTGGTAATCCTGGTTTCTGCTTGCAGCCACTTTGTGAAGTATAGTTGTCAGACTGAACAGAAAGCTACTTGCAGAAAAGTGTAACCCAGATTATTGAGGGAAACAAGATTTGAGTCGTCATCATACCATGCTTGAAGCTTTCAACTATCTTTGGACATCTCGGCGATTATGCAGATCAGTTATCTTTATTATAAATTTTAAATATCTGCTCCAGTAATTGATTTTGAGAACACCTTAGTAGATATAGATTAATAATAAAATTGATAGATGTGGGGCATGCCGTTTAAAATTTTGAGACTATTCTCAGGAACACTTAGTCAATGTATAATACTTCTGAGTATTTCAGATAGTTTCTTTGCACTTCCATCAACAATAAATAGTACTAATCCTTTTTGTCTCTGCTAATCTGCTGGGAGAAACATAACGTAATGTCAGTCCTCTTTATTTCTTTATTTTCTATAACAGATTTCATCTTAGGTGAAAGTATAACTTAAATTTGCCAATTTATGGCATATCATCTTTTGGTTAAAGACAATTCAGTTTCAAGCAATTATGTAGCCAATTCAAATTTTAACTTGCCCTCAGGGCTACTTTTCCTCTTTCCTCGCCATGCGAAAGGACTTGGTAAATAAATGCTGTACAGACAGGCTTACCTGACCTCATGGGATGGAGAGGAAAGCCTATGGACCCTTGCCTTGTCTTCTAAGCCCTCAGTGGTCTCTGCTCATGGCTGCCCTCCCTGACTCTTGGACGGGGGTTGAGGATCAAGACTGTAACTGTGGATGCATATAGGTGTTGACTTGATTTTTGTCATGGCCTGTTTTTCCTCCCAGATGATTCAGTTCCATGTTACCTTTGGCTGGCACTTGTCCATGTCTTCTAAGGTGTCTGAAATAGCCACTATATCTCCAATCTGGGACATTTGCCCCGGAACTGTCATGATACTTCCTCTAGGCCATGACAGCTCCATCAAGACTTCTAACCTGAATCATCTGTGACCTTTCACAGCCATGTCAGCACATCCATGTAACTCCTGGTCTCATACGATCAGAGTAATTGACGTGTAATTCTGGCTCTGTCTCTAACTAATTGAACTCCATGTTACCAAATAATATTGCCATGGACTGACTAACCTTCTGAGCTAATATTTCTCATAGTTAACTAACACCTACATCCACCACACATAGATTTCCATATTGAATGTGGGGCACAAAAGCCCATCTACTTTTTTTTATCTTTCATAGGAACTAATATGACTTCAGGGATTTAAGCTTGTTAAGGAAGCCATAATGTACTTTTCTGGGGCTTGTTTTCCCTCTCTGATCTATTAGGTTGGCGCAGAAGTAATTGCAGTTTTAATACTTCTTCACTGTAAATCTATTCCATTAATGAGAATGGAAAAGATGGGCATTCCATTCAGTTTTTCTTATCTAACACTTTGTTTTCATAATTCAGCTTCTTCCTACATTGACATTTGTCTGACGCTTTCTGAGATTATAAGATGCCAAGGAAGAAGCTAAGATCTAAAGGTGTTCTCTTAATAGTGTGATGAAAATTGTTGAAGTGTTTATTACTGGCAGTCTTCTAAGAATTACCTGTTCATAGTTCTTTCCTATGATTGTGAGGTGTTTGTTTTGTTAAGCATAATCGTTTTACATATACATATATTACAGGGTGAAAAAAATCTAGACTACATATATATCATAATCTTTATTGATTTTATATAAAATATGTAATTGATATATATTTTATATGTAGTCTAGATTTATTTCCATTGATTTACTCAACAAATACCACTTATTGGGCCTATTGTTTTCAAAAATGTATGCTTAGAGTCCCCATTCTCATGAACTTAGAGTCACATAGAAGAAATTAATTGAATAACCAATAGGATAATCACTATAATAAAGGCATTATTCTAAAGTGAGATACATGCTTTGAATAATGGGAAGAACAATTGAGAGAGTTACAATATGACCAAGACATGAATGTAAAGGAAGCTTTTCTTTAGGAAATGATATTTGAACGGAATTGTTGCAAGTATTTTTTTCTAAGTGTCTTCCTTTTCACCTTTTTATGACATTTTATTTCAAAATTGTATGTAATTGGATAACATCCCCATATTTGCGTCAGAAAGCCCAAAAGATACTTCAAAATATAGGTAATCATCTCAATAGCTACTAAACATTTGATAAAATTCAACTCCTATTCACATGACTTGGATATTTCTCACTTGGTTTGTTCCTAAGCATTTTCAACTTGTTTGCTTTTTTGTTTTAGTTTGCCTTTTGTGTTTTCAGTATTTTTCCTTTCCTATTGTATATAGAATTGATTTCTAATTGTATAGGAAAGCTATGTTTATGCAGTTATCTTTGGCACTATTTATTGTCTCATAAGCTCTGATTTAAAAATAATTTCTTTCAGACCTTTTGGGTAAACAATCAAATTACACCAATTCAATCTTTGTCTTATTGCATTGCCCCAAGTACATTGTTTAATTCATAGTGATAATAGAAATACTGGCCCTATTACTGAATGTAATTGGAAATAATTATTTTCACCAATATATGTGAGGATTGTTGTAGGATTCTTGTATATGATCTTTATCACATTATGGTAGCACCCTTTTACTACTGAGACTTAATTATCAAGAATGGGGTTGAATTTGATCAAATGCTTTTTATGCATCTATTGAGATAACCAGGCATTCTTTCCTTTCATGTTTGCTAAAGTACTGAATCACATTAATAGGTGAGTATATGTTTCATCCTCTTTGCATTTCTGAGAAAAGCTCTTCTTTGTCATGAAGTACCATTCTTTCAATATGGTACTGGCTTATTGAAAGAGTCAATGAACTTAGATTTTGAAAATCTATAATTGAATTTGAGTTTTTTAATAGGTATCTGACTCTGCTCGAGTCACTTATTTTTTATTAACCTTACTTCCCTCACGTGTAATATGAGTACATTCTACACAAAGTAGCTATTAGAAGGATGTGAAATTGTTAAAATTTTTATGTAGTAAAAGTATCATTTATTACACTTATTACTCAAGAGAACTGAGCGATTATACTTAAATTCCCCACATAGTAGGCATGAGATACATGATACGCTATCAATGAAGATGAACTGAGTGCATAGAATTACCACTTTGGGCAGCTATACTTCATTCCAATGGCTTAGCTCCATCAAGTGAATGAGGAGCCCCAGGCGCACAGATGGTACCTTCATTTTCCCCAAGATTGCATCAATGTTACAAATACTATCATAGATTTTTTTGAGGGTTCACTGATCCCAACCAATAATCATTAGCTAGTAGCTTGGCAACTTCCTCAAGAATAAAGACTTATTTTGATGGTTACTTAGAAAGAAAATGGCCCGTGGGATGATATTTTGAAGATTGTCCACTAGATGGCATTACAAGCCTGTTGGAATTGCTTTAACTAGCCATTTCTTTACCAGTTAAATACTAATTAAAGATATTAGTAAATGGAAGTTAGTGACATAGCACTATCTTTGAGAAAGTTGTCTGTCCCTATTTGTTTGAATATAAGCTAAAAGTAGCAATGACATAAAGCCACTAGGGACAGATTCCTTTAGCCCTTACTTGAAAGCAATCACCTCTGAACGGAAAATAATTCATCTATAGCAAATGGACAGGACTCCCAGAAAAACAAAAAGTTGAAGATACTTTATCAAGAAAACTAAACATTTTTGTACTCAATTGAATTACCTAAGCTCTTTATGAGATAAGTGGATTCCAAAAAAATGCTTAGATAAGTACGTCAACGACAGCATTAAACATGGCTTTGAAAAAACGCTGAGCAGAAGGACAATGATGCAGAAGGACAATGATGAAATAATTTTAGGTTTAACTCACAGAGGGTAACTTGTTCTGTCACCTCTTTGGGATTGCTGTTAGCAACAGAATACTTAAATGAATGGAATTAAGTTTGTAATAACAAATAATATAAAGATGATTCTTACTAATTTTTATGATGGGAATTAACTGAACTTGGAGCCAGGACTTTCGATGGGGATGCCAAGCATTTATCCACCCTAAACAAGCTGGCTTTTTGTTTTATTCTACTCTAACACTTCATTCATTCCCTCCACACATTTCCACCTCCTCCTGTTCACTTTACTCACTTTTATATTAAAGAATGACACTTGACCGGGCATGGTGGCTCACGCCTGTAATCCCAACATTTTGGGAGGCTAAGGTGGGCAGATCACTTGAGGCCAGGAGTTCGAGACCAGCCTGGCCAACATGGCAAAACCTGGTCTCTCTTAAAAATGTAAGAAATCAGGTGGGCGTGGTGGCATGCATCTATAATCCCAGCTACTCAGGAGGCTGAGGCCAGAGAATTGCTTGAACCTGGGAGGCAGAGGTGGAGGTTGCAGTGAGCCGAGATCATGCCACTGCACTCAAACCTGGGCAACAGAATGAGACTCCAACTCAACACAAAACAAAAGAATAAGACACATTACCTCTCTTGAATCCCTTGAGGAAGAAAGAACGCACCCAAATCAGAAGTTCATACTCTTCAGAGTAAAGTAATCTATGGGTGCCATTTTGAGTCATTGGTGGAAATGCCTTCAGAACACATACTAGAACTTTGAGTTGTCAGAGCAGCTCATGCCCAGTCCTCATACGTTGAATATTCGTATTATTACAGGCTTGAGATAATTGCCTATCAGGTTTTAAAGGATTCTTTTTGCAGTGATAATAGATATTTCATCAACAATTTATGATTTTTATAAATGGACATGCCTGAAGAGGAAGAAATGATTTTCCAATGGCTAGGGAGTCTTAGAAGTAGAAAAAATACCCCAAAGACATAACGTATCATGATCTTATAACCTAGAGTCAAAATCTCATAGACCTCGGGAAACCGAAGAGAATTAACACAACCTTCCTGTGTTAAAATTTTAGCTGCAGATTTTGCCTCACCGTTTGAGGAATTCTGTCTTCCCAGTTAATGAGTAAATGGTCAACATTTTAAGACATGCCAATCTCCTGAAATCAAAGTTCAAGTAGAAAGTTCTCAGTCAGGTTGCTTAGTTTACAAGTGTCGAGTCATGCTGACTAAGGGGCCGGAGTGCTGAGAGGTAGGGGGGAAGGAGTCACACCGTCACACAGGTCATGTGAATAGCTTGCTCTGTTCTAGGACTGGAGAGCTCTCTGGTGCTCCGGTCAGAGTTCCTAACCAATAGGAGAGGGAGAAGCTAGAGCTGCCCCTTTTAATTCAGTGGGAGAAAAATGTTTGGAATGTTCCTTACGTAACTGTGACCTTAATTCAGTAAAACATGCCTGGGCAGGTAAGACAAAATCTACCGTCAAGTAGATAGCTGTCTGAAGGGTGTACTTTTAACTTTTCAAATACAGAAGTGCTTATCATGGAATAATACTGTCACAGACACAAAGTGAGACTATAATGTAATGTGATTCATTTTGAAAAATCAAGCATAAGAGAATGGTACATACTCAATAACTCTTTTCAGAACGCTTCTTGATGAATCTTGATAACTCTTGTCTTTTTGATATGAGTTGAAAAGAAATTATTTAGGCAGACAGTGAGGGTGAGGAAGTCCTTGGCAAGGTTTTCCTTTCAATGAAAAGCAGTCCTCAGATCATTTTCTTCTCTATCAAAGAGCAACCAATAGAGTCAAGCTGCAGACGTTGACAAGCCAGCTAGAAGCCTGCATGGGTGAATGCCCACAGTTGAAATAGACAATAGAAAAAGGCTACCTGGGATTAGGCATAATCAGAATGGTGGCTCCACCTTCCCTTTCTCCTTGACAGCCACTTGTACAGAAAGGAGCAGACAAGATGGCACTGGCCAAATGGACAGCCTATTTGCATAATAAGACGAGGGTGGAGCAACTGGCCTTCCCTGGATGCTATGTGAATGCCACACCTGGTGGGACCAAACTGTGGGCCCTACGTGAATCAGACACTGCCTCCTCAAACCTGCCTAGAAAATCTGTTGCAGTTTGCTGCAGGCTGGCTTTTCCCTTTTGAACCTCTCTCTCTGCTCTTCTCTCTTTCCTTCTGCCTATTAAACTTCCCACTCCCTAACCCATCCATGTGTGTCTGTGTGGTTAATCTTTGTGCCAGGTGACGAACCCTGGGTACTTACCCCAGATGATGATGCCACTTCATTTTGAGAATAGATTGGAGTTTTGGAAACAGCTGCCATGTCGGAAGCTTCAAGTAGTTGGAGAGAATCGTATAGAGAGCAGAATCACTGGAAAGGCAGAAGCTACAGATTTGACCCTTTTTTTGTTTTGTCTTTCCTTTTTCAAATAGGAGCTACTTTAGATTTTTCAAAGATTGATCCTGCCTGTGGTAAGAGTAGCTTGAGATACAGAGTTGATATGGTAACATGTGCTCCTCTCCCAGTGAAAGTATACAGCGATTTGGACGGTCACCTCGATGGCCTTTAAAGGACTTGGTACATCAAAATTGGATGTACTGGCAGAGGAAGCCTAGAGCTAAAGACTTGAGATTTTTGGGGTCATGTTTCATTATAAGGAATTCCAAAAATCATGTGAATTTCTCCTGATTCTGAAATTTCATGCAATTTTCTACAGTAAAGTCTAATGCTCTAGGAATATGTTTTGGGATTACTTTTATTAAAGTGAAGTGTGCTTTATTTGCATTTAGGATAATTGGATTTGGCATATAGGAACCATGAGAAAAGACTAACAAGAAACCTATGCTTTGAGATTAAGATCTTCCATGGAAAATTGACTTAATCCAACTTCTGTCTTTTTTAGTGATAGAATCATAGGATTTAGACTAACACTGAAAAAAATGAGAGCTTTGGATTGGGTGAAAAGGAAGCTTCTGAACCTTCTGCCCTGGTGATGTTTGAGTTGGAAATGTGATACATAGCAGCCTATCCAGAAAGTTTTAAATTTTGTGTTGCCCAGTTTCAGGAAGAATAATGACTTCTTCACTGGCAACTTATCATCATCAGTATTTTTAAAATTCAAGCAGAATTTATCATTTGCAGAGGCTGGGAATTTGTCAGTCTTGATCAAAATATTTGCAAAAGATAGCTGAGAAGAAATAAGAAAAAGTAGTATCCTTTATTGATAACTGTAAATTTTTATTATTTGATTTTTGAGACAGGATCTCACTCTGTTGCCCAGGCTGGAGTGCAGTACTGTGATCTCAGCTTACTGTAACCTCTGCCTCCTGGGCTCAAATGATCTTCCCACCTCAGCCTCCTGAGTAGCTGGGACCACAGATGCATGACACCATGCCTGTCTACTTTATTTATTTATTTTTTTGTGGAGGTATAAAAGGTATAACCCAGCCTGGTCTTGAACTTCTGAACTCAAATGATCCTCCCACCTTAGCCTCTCAAAGTGCTGGGATTATTGACATAAAGCACTGTGCCTGGCCTGATTCTTGTAAATTAAAGCAAGTCATGATGAAGCTTTGGAGCTGCATAGATCACCTATATTAGCTATATCTAATAAGCTACGTATCATGCATGTGACTTGTATATGTGACATGTATAAAACTATGTTAAATTTGGAAAACATTCTCCAAGAATTTCTATGATTTGGACAAGAATTTCTTGCTTTATGATTTTTGTCTTTCCCTTCTTATTCACATACTCTCCTTCCATAAAACAAGTAGGCGACTAAAATATGATCATCTTCCTCATTAAAGGAAATCGGACCTTTTATATTATAAGCCTCCCTCTCTCTAACAAGTCAAAAGTAGCCTTTCATTTCATCCTGAAAGGCTTTTAGGAGCAGAAGTGAAGAGGCAGCTAGAAAAGGGTAGACAGGAAAGAATCCTGAACGTGGGAGCGAGTGCCACCTTTGCTTTTGAACAGCCTTGTGCCTTGAGGCAAATCACAGGGCTTCTTCTGGCTTCAGTTTTCTGAACTGTAGAATGTGGAGTTTTGAACCAGAGTTTCCAAGACAGTGGATCTGTAACCAGTCTGCACGTTAGAATCACCTGTAGGCTTTGAAGGAGATGAATTCCTTGTAGTAAAGAATAGTGATGTATCCCCAGAGCCTAGGACATGGCACTTAGTTAACGTTGCCAGACTTGGCAAATAACCCAGGACATCCAGTTAAATTTGCATTTCAGATAAACAATGAAAAAATGTTTAGTATATATGGGTCCCAAATATTTATCTGACAACCCTATGCACAACGGTCAAAGTTTGTTTGTGGAATGAATGAGTATCATTGAGCCTCTACCCATGGACATTTCAGATAAGGAATGCCATGTAGTAGGGGCATATGTTTCAATAGCGTTTTCAGTCACATCACATGGAAATCTCGTATTTACTCTTTTCCCAAGCTTTACTAGTCTTGATTGAAGCAGTTTTTCACCCTCTGACAAGAATTATTATATCGATTGGGATGCTTTATGTCCTAAGTAAAGTATACTGTGATTAAAATAGCTCAAACCATAAGGAAATTTATGGGTTTACTTAATGAGAGGTCTGGAGCTAAGATGACATCATCCAGGACCCAGGTGTTCCCATCATCTTTCTGCTGGGACACCCTCAGTGTGCTGGCTTTCACTTTTAGGTTTGTTGTGTTACGTTTTCAACATGGCTGTTGTATGTCCATATATCATGTCTTCACATAAATATATTCAGAGAAAAGAAGGAAGGGCCGTTTTGTGTTCATGTATTTTCAACAGGAGAAAAGAAATCTTTCCTAAGGATTTCTACCCTAGAAAACGTTTTCTTAATAATCACTGGCCAGAATTGGCTCAGATGCTCATGCCCAAGCCCAAAGAAAGGCTGCAATGGAACAGTGAGATGTTTTCACTCTTCCTGTTGGGAGGCAAACTCTGTAATAACAAAGGAGGTGGCTGAAAATTAAATGTCATGAAGGCAACTGGGTGTCATCCTTATTACATCTAGGAATCTAGGATAATTTTTCCTTTCAGATGACACCAGTACATGAATGGGTTCTTGGCTGATAGACCAGTCTGGAGGAATGGGGAATACATCACTCTTCAAGAGGTGATTTCTTTGAAGGCTTCGATGCATTAAAATCTCACCGGAAACAAAAAACTCTACACTGGTCCCAGAGTAGTCCATTAGCTGTGCTATCATTTACCTAGATTGATTAGAGCCTTTAAAATACACAATGACATCCCTTTGTGAACAGAAAAAAAGAATCTTAAGGAATGCTTTTTTGTTTGTTTTTTGAGACGGAGTCTTGCTCTTGTCGTCCAGGCTGGAGTGCAGTGATGGGATCTCTGCTCACTGCAACCTTCATCTCCCAGCTTCAAGCAATTCTCCTGCCTCAGCCTCCCAAGTAGCTGGAATTACAGGCATGTGCCACCATACCTGGCTAATTTTTAGTAGAGATGGGGTTGCACCATGTTGGCCAGGCTGGTCTTGAACTCCTGACCTCAGGTGATCTGCCCGCCTCTGCCTCCCAAAGTGCTAGGATTACAGGGATGAGCCACCACATCTGGCTTGAAGAATGCTTTTTTCTTGTTCTGGTGTTCACCTCAGGTTTTCATATCAAAAATATGGCAGAAAATCTCACTGTATATACACACACAAATTTTAGAACTGCCAGAATCCTCATTTCACAAGGTGGGGGGGGCTGCTTCTCAGTTAGAATTCACCCAAGTGTACTTTCATTCTTAAGTACACTATTAGAGGAAGGTAATATAGATGATAATTTCTTTTGATACCAGTGACTGCTGAAGATTGTGAAAGTGCTCTGCATGCTTGTTTTAACCTGCAATCACTTTGATCAGGGGACGCAGACAAGGTGTTGGAGTGCGAGGAATACTTAACTAGCCTCAAGGCCTGCAAAGGCGCTTTGGCCCAGATTTTCACACCATGTTATATGCTTTTGTTCATCATGTAAGCAGGGTGGGCCGTGGAGGTGAATTGTTCCACAGTGCTTCTAAAACACATATTCAAGTGTATTTTCCCAAAGCTCGTGTAGAATTCCAAGTGGTATAGAAAATACACTGAAAATGCCACATATGGAGAAGAGAAAATAAAACTAGTATTTAATGAAAAGCTTTGGTATGCCAGACGTGACGCTAAATGTCTGACATCCTTGGATTTATTTAATCTTGAAAACAATGTTTTGAGTTATTTAATGAGCTATTGATTCACCCAAGGTCATATAATCTAATGAACATCAGAGACAGAATGAGAGCTATTGCCAAACACTACATCTGCAAAGGAAGATATGTGAAGTTTTTACAAATACACACTTGATAAGGAAGGTTTTTCTTCGGCTGTATATTTGTCTATTAAAACAATTTCTGCTTAGAGTTGAATGTCAGAGTGGGCTTTATACCCAGAACAGTACTGGCATCATTGGTGAGATACCCAATCAGAGATTGTTTTCTTGAATGATCTGCACATTTTCTTTTGTCCACTGACAAGGATACGTACCTTCTCTGGAGTTCATTACACATTCCAAGCATAGCAAATCAAACATTAATTATTCTCAGGAAGAGTCGTCAAAGTTCTCTTCCTTCTTCGAGTGATAGGACGGAACAGTAAAAACTAAAACGTTGAGTACTCAGTAGTTAAGCAGTATCTGATCCAATAGCCCAATTTTCTTTTCCTGAAATTTTAGTTTAGATTCAGAGTGTACATGTGCAGTTTGTTTCCAAGGTACATCGTGTGATGCTGTACAAATCACCTAGGGTAGTGAGCATAGTACCCGACAGGTAGTTTTCTGTCCCTTGGTTCCCACCCTCCCAGTCTTGTATTCTCCAGTGTATCTTGTTCCCATCTCTATGTCCACATGCACCCAATGTTTAGCTCCCATTTGTAAGTGAGAACATGTGGTATTTCCTCTTCTGTTTCTTGTTAGTTCACTTAGGATACTGACCTCCAGCTGCATCCATCCAACATCCTAATTGTTACAGATCCTATAATTCTACACTGCTCCCTCACTTTCTGAGGGTAAAGGAGGGAGAAGAACATAGATTTTTGTGCTGAAGGAATACATGGCTTTGACTCTTCTTAAGCTAGTAAATTTGAGTTGTAGCACAAAATAGCATATTTTTTTTTTTTTTTTTAAGACAGGGTCTCACTCTATTGCCCAGGCTGGAGTTCAGTGTTGTGATTTCAGCTCACTTCAATCTCCACCACCTTGGGTTCAAGGGATTTTCCTGCCTCAGCCTCCCAAGTACCTGGGATTACAGGCATGCGCTACCACACCCAACTAATTTTTGTATTTTTAGTAGAGATGGGGTTTCACCATATTGGCCAGGCTG